CATGCCTGCATATACTTGTAGGCCTTTTCCTGTTGACACATGAAACACTATCAAGTTATACACATTCTAACATAACAAAATGTATACAAATGTTGACACATGAAACAATATTAAGTTATACACATTCTAACATAACAAAATGAATACAAATGTTGACACATTCTAACATAACAAATTATACACATTCTAATATAACAAAATATATACATTCTAACATAACAAAATATATACAAATGTTGACACATGAAACAATATCAAGTTATATACATGATAAAAGGAACAGCCATAATGGAAGGATGAACAATGAAAAAAACAACATACCTAATGTTGTACACAGGAAAAACTGTATCAATGAATGCAAGTTTTCATAAGTATTGTACTACAAACATTTTAGACATTCTAAACTGATTTTGACACACAAAAGGTAGCATCACTGCTGTATGAATAACAAAAAAAAAGTTACAAAATATTTCAGTCAAAATTTAATGTAAAAAGTAACCACTGTTGTACTTTGAAATATAAACCTTAAAATAGTTAGAGAAAAAAATGTAAACAAAGAGAGGAGACATAGATAAAGAATTTACTTATAATGTGATACTCTTTAAAATGTTTAATACATAAATTCATTACACAGTTTACATTTGATTGTTACTTTATTTTCTGGGAAGCACAGTCTGTATCTCTTCCTGTCATTTCTATCAACTGTTATTGGGAAATGTGTGCCAAGAGTGAGTCCTGTACAGTTCTGGAGAGGGGTATACCAGAAGGACCTGGTCTGCTTTGAAGTAGAGGCTGAATAAGAGCTGTGACCAGGCCCTTTCTGAAGGCCTGGGTTAATGCCGGCTGATTGTTTTGTTTTTTGTACAAAATTTAAGCATGTACAACTGTCAAGTCCAAAAGTCGAAAAAAAAAGTTTTTTATACCATTTTATTGTCCTTTGTCCAGTACAATAGTAACTTAATTGTTGGTCATTTAGGTCCACCCCTCCTGTAAACTTGTTGTAGTCCACAGTTAACTGAGGTTTTATAATCTCAGCATCCCTCTTCTTGTCATAGTATTAGAGTGTAAAGTTGAAAGTATGTAATTGGTTGTCAGTCCACAGCTGTCAGAGTTCCACATTTAAAAGATTGTACTTTTACTCTATGTAGGTTTTGTTACAAAAACGGAAGTCACGTGATGCTGCTAGTGCATGCGTGACTGAATTTTTCGAATGATCAGGGAGGCCCAAGTGTTTTCCAGACGCCTCCTTCATTGGTATTTTAGCCTGGCAGAGAAAGCCAACAATTAATGAATGAATGAAGAAAGTTCCGGGTAATTTACGATTCTGTTTTGCACTCGTAGAAAGCGAAGTTATCGAGATTGTGAATCGCTGTGATTTATAATGTGTATTATAAAAGTGACAAGAAACGTGCTGATTTTGAAATTATTGCGTGCTAAAAGTTTGTATCGAGAAAGAATAAACTGGTTTAATCAAGAAGGGACTTGTATCACTGAAGTTCTTCGGAAAGAATTTATACCAGAAATTATCAAACAACAGATAAGCAACAAGGTGGTGTCAGAGAGCAGGATGAAAAAAAGAAAGAAAGAAAGATGGAAAAGAGAAGTGGCAAATCAAACTACGACTTAGCAGATTTGATGGCAGCAATACAAAAACAGCATGAGAAACAACAAGAGAGATTACAGCTTTTGTTGGAGGAAAAATAAAAGAAACAAGAAGAGAGATTACAGCTGTGGTTGGAGGAGAAAGAAAATGAACAAGAAGAAAGTCTCCAACAGTTAAGAGAAAGCCAGCACACACAAATGGAAAAGATTAGTAAATTTCAAAGTGAATTAAATACATTAAAGGATGATTTACTGTCTTTTACACAGGAAGGATATATTAGCCATCGACCTAATCAGCCCTAGACAACAACAAGCCACTTCTAGACCCCACAGCTAAACCCTAATGCAGACATCTTCAGTCCTGCCAGAGTCACATTCCAGACATGAGTGTCAGCAATAGGGGTGATCTAGTACAAAGGAAGTCACAGGAATTCCATGAGAAAGCACCATGGGAAGCATATAAAGCACAATTTGAGCTACTGGCAGAAATGAATGGATGGACAGAGGAGCAGCAAGCAGTGTACCTGGCAATGAGCCTGAAGGGACAACCACTGGAAATACTTGGACAATTGTCAGCAGGTAGCTGCTCTAGAAATCAGGTATGGAACTCAAAACCAGTCTGAAGTTTACAGGGCTAGGTTTAGGACGAGAGTCCTTGCTAAAGGGGAGAGCGTGCAAGAGCTGGCACAGGATTTGAAAAGTATGGCACACAAGGCCTACAAAACTGCACCACCCGATGTCCTCAAGATGTTGCTGAGGGATCAGTTTGTACAAGCTTTGGACAGTCCACAACTGAAGATACAAGTAAAACAAGCACACCCCTTTACTATGCAGGATGCAATGGCCAGAGCTCTTGAATTCGAATCCTACGTTAAGTCCAGGACAGAGGTACCAAGATTGACAC